ACGGTGAGATGACAAGGGGAGAGACAGAGAGAGAGAGAAAGAGAGAGAAACTAATTATTTATCCATGAATCAACAAACACGGTGAGATGACAAGGAGCTGCTCTACAATCACCTCACACAAAAGGATCGACCCAGCAGCAAGGTGGTCTAAGGAGAGCTGCTGTGAGAAAGGCTGCGGCATTGAAGATCTCCTTACCCAGAGGATATAGGAGTTTGGGCGTCTGCCTTCTCCAAAGAGTTCCATCTTCATGAGAGATTACATCATGAGGCTTGTGCTTGTAAAGTTCATTGTAGAAAGACATCTTATCTAGGAAGCTATATACCTGGCAACATGCAGAAAGAAACTCAATCACACATTTACCTACAGAACATTCATGGGGGTCCCAAGTCTGCTCTATTAACCAGACTGTGTAAACTGGTCCTCAAACTCCTTCCCAGTCCACTACTGTAGATCATCTTGGAATCGCCTTCTGCTCTCCTACCTAATCTCCACTCAAGTTCTCCCCTCTCTCCACAAAGACAGTTGTCTCTCCTGAACAGCATCTCAAGTTCTATTTAGGGAGCTAACTGAACAACTTACCTTTTTGGCAGTGGACTTTCCTGATACCAGGGCTCGGAGTAATTGCAGGAGTGGGGAAAGGAGATGGGGGAACATTCCACATACACTGTCCAGAATGATCCCAAGACCAGAAGTTGGTTCCTACAGCGGAAGGGGAGAAGTCACTATTATTCAGAACTGCCTGATAATCCTCAGAAAGTCTAGAAGCAATCCTTCCCTAATAATCTAAGACTTTCATGTCCCCGATGAGAAAGGACAATATTCAGTTGGGATTTGATTTAACTGGCATCTGAAAAGCAACTCTTAAGTCTATCCAGTGATCTCTTCTTCCTGGCCACCCTTTCTATGGGAAGATAACTTGTTCCTTAGGACAATGTTTCCACTGACGTGAAAACTACCCTAAAACACGTCAGCAGCTAGCCACCACACCCAAGCAAAGATGCTCCATCTACATACTGGTTCACACCAGCTTCTACCAGGGATATTGCTGGCATCTGTAAGAGTAAACAGCAACTCAGGAGAAAGAGGTTAATACACACAGGCAGATCAGTCTGGCTTGGGTACAGGTTTGAAAACAGATGTTTGAAGTCACTGTCAATGCTAACACCAGTGCTGGTGAAAAACCATTCTTTCCAAATGCTCAAACCAATCACAACACTGATGACTTGGTAAGATCTAGTTATAACCCTCTAAGTATTTTTGAAAGGAATCATCAGGAGGCTGAGGCAGCAGGATTGCAAGTTCAAAGTCAGCCTCAGCAACCTAGTGAGGCCCTGGCAACTGAGCAAGATCTTATCTCAAAATAAAAAGGACTGGGCATGTGACTCAGTAGTGAGGCCCCTCTGGGTTCAATCCATGTAACAGTAAATAGCACCTCAGGAGAAAGAGAATAATATACACAGATAAAGAAAAAAGAAAAAAAAAAAAAAAGAGTTGCAGGACCCTAAGCCAAAAGTGAAGTATGGAGACATATGCCCGAAGTTCCAGTGACTCAGGAGCCTGAGGCAGGAGGATTACAAGTTCAAGGCCAGCTGGGGCAACTTAGTAAAAACCGGTCTCAAAGGATAAATTTGGTAGAGAAGCTCTGGGTTATATCCCCAGTGTACAAACATACACACGGAGAAAAGTTTTGGGAATCCTGGTTGTTGAAAGACTGTCAATATGAAAAAAGACTTGGTGATAACACATTGGTTGATGATTTAGGCTACAGACTCAAGCCAGATAGAACTAGGTCCTTGCTGTCTCTTTCTGGCCGTGTAACGTTGGTGGAATCCCTTCATATCCCTAGGCATCACATTTCATCATACACAACGTGGCATCAATAACAGTATCTACCTCACAGATATTTTGACAATTAAGTGAGAAAATACATACAAAAGCCAAATATAAAGCCTCTCACAAAATGTCTGATAAATCCTTTTGGTCCAGAGTAATGTCAGAGTATGATTCTCTCCAACATACTTACTGTTCCCCAGAAGAGTTCTGGAAGAGAAGGGTCCGCCAGGACTTCACACGCTGTGTCAATTACATCCTGTTGGGGGAGGGAAGAAATTGTTCCTTTTCCCTGGTTGAAGTAGTGTCTTTTTTTTTTTTCTTACTGTATTCTGTTTACATAAAAACACCAATAACCATCTCCATATATGTTACAAAAAATTATGGGTTTAAAGAATAAGATCACACCTTGTCCAGGGTGCATATTGTATATGCTGTATACACATTCACTTCTCTGAATTTCACATGCTCGTTTGTAAAATGGGGAAAATAATAGCTCATGGTACTATTTTGAGTGTAAGGAATAAAAGCAAGTTGGCTGTAAATTCAAAACTAGTATATAAGTAAGGTATTACTACTAGACTCACCTTTACTTTGCTCCTAACAGGCAGGGCAAGGACAATGTCTTGCCAGGCGTGGTGTCGCACGCCTATGATCCCAGAGGCTCAGGGGATTGAGGCAAGAGGATCGTGAGGTCAACTTAGAGCCTCAGCAACTTAGAGAGGCTCTCCCTACACAACTTAGTGAGATCCTGTCTCAAATAAAATATAAAAGGGACTAGGGATGTGGCTCAGTGGTTAAGTGCTCATGGGTTCAATCCCCAGTACCAAAAAAAAAACCAAACCAAAACAAACAAACAAACAAAAAACAATATCTTTTTAATATTTTTATGCTGAACACCTAGTACAGAGTTAAACATACACTGGGCATCTAATAAATGCTTACAGAGTCTTTTTTTTTTTTTTTAAACCAAGCACCACGACTCCTACAACATGTTATATCTATTCTCCATGCATAGAATAGGACCAGACCCTTCCATTGTGATTAGAATTTTCCTGAAGTATGCAAAGCTTGTTCTATGCCCCAGAGCTTGGGGAATTGATTCTTTGAATTAGTTCTAATCTCATTTTTATCCAATAATAAGAAATTTCCATCAGTTCACAAAACAAGTGACTAATCATTGAAAATGAATACAATGATTTAGTTTTAAGGATACTCATCAAATATCATTTCCCACTAAAAAGAACCAGAACAACTTGGAAAGCAGGTTCTAGGTCTGAAACAAGAATCCTACACAATAATCCTGTAATATCTTGTCATACCAGTAAGCAATAGAGCTATCAAAACAGATAAGGGTAGTGTCAAATGAATTCAGAAGACAATTGGAAAGTCCTTACTGACCAAAGATGGGGCAATCTCAGCCTAAGAATAATAACTGCACAGATTAAAACACAGCTAGCAGGGCGGCAGTTGTAGCTCAGTGGTACAGCACTTGCCTAGCATGCATGAAACACTGAGTTTGATCCTCAGCACCACATAAAAACAAATAAATAAAATAAAGATATCATGAAAAAGAAAAACACAGTATGTTTAAATCTATGATCTCAGGATGGAGGTAGAGTGCTTGCCTTGCATGCACAAGGCCCTGGGTTCAATCCCCAGCACCACATTAAAAAAAAATAATAATAATAATAATATTTTGGGCTGGGGTTGTGGCTCAGCAGTAGAACACTCGCCTAGCAAGTTCAAAGCCCTGAGTTAGATCCTCAGCACCACAGAAAAATATATAAAAGATAAAGGTATTGTGTCCAACTACAAGTAAATAATATTTTTTTAATTTTTTATTTATTTTTATTTATTTATTTTTTTTTAAGAGTGAGAGAGAGGGGGGACAGAGAGAGAGAGAGAGAGAATTTTAACATTTATTTATTTTTTCTTAGTTCTCGGCAGACACAACATCTTCGTTTGTATGTGGTGCTGAGGATCGAACCCGGGCCGCACGCATGCTAGGCGAGCGCGCTACCGCTTGAGCCACATCCCCAGCCCAATAATATTTTTTTTAAATAAATAATTAGGGCTGGGGTTGTGACTCAGTGATAGAGTGCTTGCCTAGCAATTGTGAGGCCCTGGGTTTGATCCTCAGTACCACATATAAATAAATAAAATAAACGTATTAAAAATATTTTAAAAAATAAATAGAATAAATCTATGAGCTCATACTGATATTAAAAAAAAAAACCCACTAGATACCTTGAGAGGGTGCTAGAAAAAAACAGGTAAATACAAGAAAAGAAGCAGGTATGTATAGAATTCTATAACAGAGTACCAAATAGTTAATGTATAGAAATGTGGCAACTGATAAACAAAGGAAAGACAGAATTAAAGTGCCATTTTGCAATTTTCACTTCTAATAGACAATGAACATCAATAGGTGCTTACATCACACAAAAAGACAACCAACACTAACTTCTTTTTTTTTTAATGAGAGAGAGAGAGAGAGAGAGAGAGAGAGAGAGAATTTTTAAATATTTTTTTTTTTTAGTTTTTCCGCGGACACAACATCTCTGTTTGTATGTGGTGCTGAGGACTGAACCTGGGCTGCACACATGCCAGGCGAGCGCACTACCGCTTGAACCACATCCCCAGCCCCAACACTAACTTCTGATGGAAGTACAAAACATCATCTAGGAAGCAGTCTTGCTTAAAAAAAACAGTCAAACCTAAATGATCTTAGCGGAAATACAAAGGATGAAAGAACATATTAAACTGCATCACAGGGATGCAATTAGCAAAATCCAGAAAATAAGGTAGTCACCAGGAACAATGTCAGAAAACTGTCAGCAACACTAAAAAGAAAGTGAATTTACAGATAACACTGGACAACATCCTAACTTTATATGATGGGAAGGTTCTAGGTATGCTGTGCTTTCAAATATGGAAGCCACTAACCAGACATGACCATTAACACACTTGAAATGAGGCCAATGATGCTGAGGACCTGAGTTTTCAATTTCAATCATTTAAACAGCCATGTGACTTGTGGCCACCAACCTATTACAATATTTGAACCTTATCCCAACCCAAACTTATGTAAAATTTATGACATATATAAGACAATTGGAAACTTGGACCTGGACTTCATTTTTTAAGATACTGAGTGCTTTTTTTTTTTTTTTGGTGTGATAACAGTTGAAAAGCTAAGTTTTACTGAAATATTCATAAATGATATGAAATACTACATCTGGAAGTTGCTTCAAAAGAATTTGGGAAGGAGTAGAAATGAAATAAAACTAGCTCTGAGTAGATAAATATTGGAAGCTGGTGATGGGATTACAAAGGTTAATTATACAACTTTTTCTACTTTGGTACAAGTTGAAATTTAGTATTTCTTAAAAATGTTGAATTTTTATTAAAATGAAGAAAACTTATTAACAACTGTAACCTGGGCAAGGTGGTGCACACCTATAATCCCAACAACTCTGGAGACTGAGGCAGGAAGATCGCAAGTTTTTTCAGCATCTTAGTGAAATCCTGTCTCAGACTGGGAAAACCAGGAAGTCTCCACAGGGACCACTACCATGGCTGTGCAATTTGACTGGGGTGTGGTTCTGGGGGCGGACTCCAGAACAACCATTGGGTCCTCTATCGCCAATCGAGTGATTGACAAGCTGACTCCTATTCATGACCACATTTTCAGCTGCCGTAGAGGCTCTGTAGCTGACACCCAGGCTGTAGCAGATGCTGTCACTTATCAGCTTGGATTCCACAGCATTGAAATGAATGAGCCTCCATTGGTGCACACAGCAGCCAGTCTCTTTAAGGAGATGTGTTACCAATACTGGGAAGATCTGATGGCGGGAATTATCATTGCTGGCTGGGATCCTCAAGGAGGACAGGTATACTCAGTTCCCATGGGAGGTATGACGGTAAGGCAGTCCTTTGCCATTGGAGGCTCTGGGAGTTCATATATCTATGGCAATGTTGATGCTACCTACCATGAAGGCATGACTAAGGAGGAGTGTCTGCAGTTCACTGCCAATGCTCTTGCTTTGGCTATGGAACGGGACAGCTCCAGTGGAGGGGTGATCCGTCTGGCAGCCATTGAAGAATCGGGGGTAGAGCGGCAGATACTTTTGGGAGACCAGATACCCAAATTTACCATTGCTACTTTATTGCTGAGGGCCATTGCCAAGTATGAATGACGCATCAAAATTTCCTTGCCAGCATACCCCATGTTAAATGGAAATTTGCTGTGACTTTGCATGTGTCTTTGAGAAAGGTGACCCTGCTCAAGGACCAGGGTGGATCCAGGTTTAAGGTGTATCCTGCAGGTTTAAGGAAGTATCCCGCTCCTTGGGTTTAGGGCGTTCAGGTTTAAGACCCGCTCCTTGGGTTTAGGGCGTTCAGGTTTAAGACAAGTTTAAGGTGTTCCCAGTTTAAGACAATCTGGGTTTAGGGAAGTTCCAGGTTTAAGGTTATTGCTGCTGGGAATAGGGTGTTCCTGCTGCCTGGAATTGAGAAAGTATTTGGGACGTGAATTGTGCGGGAGAACTGGGATTTCCCCAGAACGTGTTTGTAGAGGGCCGGTGTGAGTTTGGGAATAAAGAATTGCTGTTTGAATCTACAAAGCTGTGAGTAGCTCGTGATCTTGTGCCCAGCCAAGACTGCGGCACTTTATCACCTCCCTGAGGCTGGGATTCTAGGATGTAATAATATTCACCCCATACCGATAAGAATTTAATAAACAGTTTGTCAAAGAGAAAAAAAAAAAAAAGGTCTGGGGGTGTGGTTCAGTAGATAAGCACCTCTGGGTTCAATCCCTAGTACCAAACAAACAAAAAAACAACCATAGATGTCGGGGATAGATGGATTTTAAAAATGCAGTTACAAAATAGTATACAGTTGGCTCTCTCTATCTAAAGTTACACAACTGCAGATTCAACCAACCACAGATCAAAACTATTTGAGAAAAAAAAAAAAATTCATCTATACTGAATATTTACAGACTTTTTCCTCTTGTCATTATTCTAATAAATAGTTATTAGACTGCATAATAACTATTTACATACTGTTTACATTGTATTATAAGTAATCTAGAGATGACTTTATAAATATATATATATATATACATTTTTAAATTTTAGTTATAAATGGACCTTTATTTTATTTATATGCGGTACTGAGACTCAAACCCAGGCCCTCACACATGCTAGGCAAGTGCTCTATCACTGAGCCACAACCCCAGCCCCTAGAGATGACTTTAAATTAACGTATTCTAGAGGATGTCCATCAGTGGATTTTAATATCCTCAGGGGTTCCTGAAATCAATCCCCAAGAGATACTAAAACATGACTGTGTACATTATGATTTTATTTCTAAAAAAAAAAAAAATTATTATATTTTTATGTACATACAGGTAGAAAACAGAACACATCAAAATGTCCATAGAAGTTAACCTGTATGATAGGATTATATTTTTCTTTTTATCAGCATTTTCTATTTTTTCTACAATTAACATACATCATTCATATAATAAATAATGAATACAGCCGGGCACAGTGGTGCATACTATAATCTCAGCAACTATGAAGGCTGAAGCAGGAGGATCACAAGTTTAAAGGCAGCCTCAGAAACTTAGCAAGGCACTAAGCAACTTAGATCCTGTCTCAAAATAAAACTAAAAAGGGCTGGGTACCTGGCTCAGTGGTTAAGCACCCTTGGTTCAATCCCCTCTACCAAAAAATTAAATAAATAAAAGGAAAAAATTATAAATGAATATAAACAGCAATGAACAAATTAACATGTGAAAAACACAATATAAGATCTAAAGAGGGAGCTGTAGAAATCTGATTGCTAAACTGAGTAGGACAGAGCCTCAGGAAAGACAGACACACTGACCTGCTGATTTCCCAGCGTGTGCAGCTCCAATGAGGTCAGAACGAAAGAGAGGAGGCCATAGACACACATGCAGGCAGTACTTGTGGTACACTGGAATGGCAGAGGAGTTGGTGATTAGTTTACAGCTCCTTCAGACTCAGCATAATTCCCTTGTGTTAACATAGTACTTGTAAACAAATGGGAAGGGAATCTGAAACTTTCACAATTTTCCTAATTTAGTTATAAGATCAGGATGACTAAGGGAGAAACAAAAAAGTACAAACACGAACATTACAACAGCCAACAATAAAATCAAAACAATCATTTTCAAAGTGATCAACGTTTGTATGGGAAAGGGATACTTCGAAAGAATAAAGTTACTTTGGATTAGGCAGAGAGCAGTGAAGGGAGAGGAGGGGCATGGGGTTAGGAAGGGTATTAGAATAAATCCAACAATATTACCCTATGTGCATAGAAGACTACACAACTGGTGTGATTCTACATCATGTACAACCAGAAAAATGAGAAGTTATATTCCATTTATGTATGTGTCAAAGTGCATTCTACTGTCATGTATAACTAATTAGAACCAAAAAAAAAAAAAAAAGTTTGTATGGGGGAAAAGAAAACCCAATCCAGGGCTGGGGGATGTGGCTCAAGCAGTAGCGTGCTCGCCTGGCATGCGTGTGGCCTGGTTTGATCCTCAGCACCACATACAAAGATGTTGTGTCCGCCGAAAACTAAAAAATAAATATTAAAATTCTCTCTCTCTTAAAAAAAAAAAAAAGAAAGAAAGAAAACCCAATCCAGCCTACAGAAGGACTACTGTCTCTATGAGCTGATACAAATGACACCTGGCCTGAACTGCCATCATTAAACAGTCAGTGCCAGCCAGCAGGACCTTTTGGCTGAAGTCTGTGGTTTCCTTTTTATAGACTGTTTTACAGCAGTTTCAGGTTCACATCATACAGTGCCATTTTATTGTCTTATGAATCCTCCATACCCAGCCTATTCATCCCTCCTCTACCAGTTAACCACTATTCTTTCTACTGTCTCCAGAGTTTTGAATTCTTCAGGATGTCTTACTTATCCTTAGAATCACACATCATGTAGCCTTTTCAAATTGCTTCTTTTACCTAGTAATATGCATTCAAGGTTCCTCCCATGTCTTCACATAGTTTGATAGCTCATTTCTTTAAGCACTGAATAATACTCATTGTCTGAATTTGCCAGTTTACTTATACCTACTGAAGGACATTTTTGCTGCCTTCAAATTCTGACAATTATGAATAAAGTTATAAACACCTGTACACAGTTTTTTTTGTGTGTGGATATTCATTAGTCTCCAACTCAGACTCTGAGTACATACCAAGTAGCATAAATGCCGAATTTAAAAGTTTCATTTTATTCGTTCATTTTATTTTTTGTGATACTGGGAATCCAACCATGGATGTCATATGCTAGGCAAATGTAACGACCACTGAGCTATCTTTATTTTAGTACATCAAAATAAGTTATGTGAGCCATATCACTCAAAATAATCCCCAACACAAGGCTCAAGAGAATTCCCATTCATCCTGGTCCAGCTGAATGAGTAAGTCCCCCAGAAAGGAATACCCAGTCAAAAACGGCCCAACCCTGTTTTCTAAAACACTTTATTGGCAAAGAGTCAGATAATGAGTTCAAACTATCCACCACTTACTGGCTACTATCGTTTTGGGCAAATTATACCTCCTTCAATCTCAATTTCCTAATGCATAAAATAAGACAATATAATCCTAAACAAAGTGATAATCAGGATTAAATTAGAAAGTGCTGAGCAGGGTCTGCTTTATAAAGGTTAGTTACACTTTCACTCTTATCCACTTCACTATTAGGATTCTCACTGTTCTCATGCTCTGCCCAGCTTTTTGCCCCTGACGCTCAACCAACAACCTGGACTCACATCATTTCCCCCAATGGCAAGTGACCGCAGTAGTCGAGTCAAGTACTGAAATACATTCAGCTGGATAGCTGTGCCACCTATCTTCCGGACCACACTGCTTGTTTCTTCTGGGTTCAGGGTGTGACGGAGGAGAGCCCAGGCCAAAAGCACCGGGGCATGATGTAGAATGTCCCCAAAGGTCAACATCAAGTGGTCCATATCCTAATGAAGGGAGAAAACATATCTGTATCTCTGAAGAGAAAGAGTTAAGTTCAATAAGCATTTCATTCATCCAAAGAGGTCTCACTTTCCCATTCTGATATTTCACTGTTCTTAAATCCCAGCCAGCCCACTAACAAGCGCCTCAGTTACTTTTCCCTTTAGTTTTTTTCCTATTGATTTTAAGCAGTCTTAATTTAAAACTGTAAAACACATGCTCATATGAAAACTCGTCATTACCTTGATTCTCCTTCCTAATTTTGTTTTCCTGGTGCTGAAGATTGAACCCAAGGCCTTATACATTATAGGGAAATGCTCTACCAATAAGCTACATCCCTAGCTCTTTCTTTTTTATTTTGGCACAGCATCTCATTAATTTGCTGAGACTGGCTTCAAACTTGCAATCCTCCTGCCTTGGGCTCCCAAATCACAGAGATTACAGATACGCACCACCACACCCGGCTCATTTTCTACCTTTCTAACTACCTCATCTCAATGTTCACCCCTTTTCCTTTTTCACAAATCCCCAAAATACAGACTATCCCCAAGGTTTTGTCTTCAGGCATCTTTTTTTCTTATACCATCTCCATGAATGACTCTAATTGCCCTCACAAATTCAATTGTCACCTCTATAAGGATGACCAAAAAAAACCCAAAAAACAAAAAACCCAGATTTCTTCCAAATCTAATTAACTATTTAATAAATTCACATCACTGAAAATTGTATGCAGCAGGATAGTTCAGTGTTTAAGAACACACTATTAACTATAAACCATCTGATAGGAAAAAAAAAAAAAGTAGCTCTTCCAAGCTCACCTGACAAATAAGCCCATCCTGAGCAAATTGGTGCAATTCTCTCCTATCATCCAAAGCACACTTATGCAGAGACTCAATATCCATGCCTTCCACCAGGATAAGGGCACTGAAATAGCTGGAAAGAAAAATGGTACTAGTCTCATGTGCTGCTTTGAAGCTCACAACAGACCAGGTAAAATGTAAGATACTTTGCTATCAAAGTCATTACTAAGTTACTTAAAGTTCTTTTCCCACAGTGTCTTCTAAATCTAGAATGTGTTTTATACTTCCAGTACATTTCAATATGACAGCCACACTTCAAGTATCTGACAGTCATATGCATCTGTGTCCACCATACTGGGCAGCACAGATCTAGTATTAAAGGTTTCTATAGCCACCACATATACCTG